AGTATAAGATAAGATAAGATAAGATAATTCTTATTACAACCTTATAGAATGAATTACATATCTATTTTCGTTTATAAAATGTAATAAAAGTGTTAAAATAAACATATCAAGTTAGATACCTAAAATCTACTACAATACAGATACACGTAATAATGTAAAAAAAAGATATTAATGATTCATCAGGTGGTTTTGTCTAATGGTATTTGCTGTTTTTATAAATTTGATAAGCTCTGTTAGTAAATATTTGTTGTTTGTATTCAATATATGAATGAATTTTTCTTTGTTTGTACAGTGTTGAAAATTGTTGATTTTCTTTGAAAAATGTGATAACAACTCTCTTTCATCTGTGTAAAGTTTACATTTTGTGATGTAATGAATTTCATCCTCAGTAATGTATAAGTTCTTAGTTTTGAATCTGGTCTTTGATTATCTTGGTTCCATTTATAATTGTAATATTCATTCACTTTTTGTTTAAACTGGTCTTTCATAATTGTTTCTAAATTCTTAAAATCATACAGTTGTTTTATTTTATGCAGATTCATTAACCATGTGTCATTATATTTGTTTTGTTGTTGATCTTTTATAGCATCATATACTAGACTGATTGGGCCATTCTTAATAATATGTTGGTAGTATATGATTGCATTCAGTTGAATCTTTGCTAGTAATGGTAGTCGTCCAATTTCCATTCTACTACCAATGTTACTTGTTTTGTTATTAACATTTAATAAGCGTCTACAGAACATTAAATGGTGTTTTTCTGTACACGTTTTGTCCCAGTACTCTGGTCTGCCATTGATTCCCAACATTTCTGCAGCATGAGTTAAAATTAGTATCTGAATGCCCTCAAAATAATTTCAATTGTAAAAGCATGTTTTACTTGTTTGATGTTAATACTGGTTTGATTGCTGCATCAGCTTTTTTTGCTTTATCTACCAATCTTTCCATGGTCATGTTCATTGCCCCATTTGTATTAAATGTTACCCCTAGATATGTGAATTGGTTTGTTTTCTCAATCTCAATGTGTTTTGCCCAATTGAGAGTTCTGTATTTTTTGGTTTATGACCATTTTTGTGAAAATCATAATTTTTGTTTTTCTCATATTCAACTGTAAACCCCATTGTTTTGTATATTCATAAAGTGTGTCTAATGATCTTTGTAAGTCTTCTTTGTTAATAGCTGTTAGAACAATATCATCAGCGAATAGAAGTGAAGAGATGTTTTGACTATTTAGGTTTGGACTATTCATTGTACAGTTATCAATGTTGGCTACCAAGTCGTTTATAAAAATGTTAAATAATGTTGGGCTTAATGGACACCCTTGTTTGACACCTTGCATTTTAAAGCTCTGGGTCACTTTGTCATCTAATTTAATTGTGAATTGCATATTCATATACAAATATAAAAACATTTATTAATAACATAAGGTAGCCGTTGTCTAATTGGGTGTGTAGATTGACTATTTTTTGCATTTGTGAAAGTATCTGGGCGTTCTAATACAGGAAAAGACTGCATGTGCATATTTAGTTGAATCTGATAATTTGGAACATTATTCATTATTTCCATCTTTCTGTTTTTCAATGCAGTTTAAATTGATGGTAATTAAGTCATTAAGTAATTAAGGGGAAAGAGTAGGAAATATACTTCCTTTAATAAACCTACAAAATAGTGTGTGTTTTGAATTGATTTTGAGATAACCAATGCATCCATTATTAAAGCATACTTCCAAAAAATGCAATTTATTTTCGATGGGTGTGTTGATTATTTTTGACACTTACTTGGTTTAGTTGAAATTATTACTTTTTTTGCATATTTTTTGCAACCTTTTGTTTACATTGTGGAGGAAGGTAAATGTTTGAATTACACATCATTCCTGATATGAAGCTTCTTAAACCTTGTCATTGGGTGAATTGACAAAAATGGATATCTTTATGTGCCTTGTCCACTCAGGGAGACAACTGCTGCAGTGGCTGATTGAATCTGACAATTACCTCATTATAATTCACACATCTCTATTATTACAAACAACCTAATTTGATTTTCTTATTTTGCAGCTCATGATCAAGTCGTTGTAGACTTGTCAACTGTTCCTTCCACTCACATGATAGATTCCTTGACTAATGCTAAAGTACCAGCAGCAGCCATTGACTCCGTAAAGAAGTCTGTGTCACAGGATGATTCTAGACTACACATTGGTAAAGTATTGAGCACATTGAAACTAACTCGAAGTAGAAGCTCAGAAGATTTACAAGAGTCAGGGATGCACGAAATGAAGTTGCTGAGTTCAAAGCTGCTTGAGAGAATAAAATTGATAACGTCCAAGAACAAAGACGAGACTGATGGATTCAATGTTCCGAAGACACAAGAATTCAGTGTGTCCGAGGTGATGAATGCAACTGAGTTGCCAGTTTTGAAAACTAGTGATATTGACAGTGTTGCGAACGATTCCAGCAGGGCTGTCGAAATTAGTAAGCCTGATGAGGTAGGTCCAATGAAGTGCAGTAGTGGTGCAGCATTGGATTTGAATGAAAAGACAGTGGTAGCCCAACATGACATTGCAGGTGAATCAAATGCACTAAGTGAAAGGGTGCCTGGAAGCTTCAGTTTAACAGACAATAAAAATGGAGATTTTACGACAAAAATTCAACCAATTGCATCTACGTCAGGAGATATTGTGTTTACGCCTAAAAAGAAAAAGAAGAAAAATGCCAAGACAAGAGATGTCAGTAAGTTGTGTTTATCTGCTATTGTGAGGCATTTGAATTTCAGTGCATTTTGGAAAATTGGTCAGATGTTATGAAATGAAAAATTATGCTGGAGTAATAAAATAAGAAAAATTTATATCATGGCTTCAACTTCAGAGTTCAAAGGTCACCCATTATCAAAGCCAAATGGCCTTAGCACATAGAAATAAAACCCATTCACAGCCAGTTCCCTCTATTCATCACAAATTCACAAAATAGTCCTGTTTATAGTCTGCACTTTCCTTCAGAAGATTGGTACAATTATAGCCACATTTTTGGATTAAAAACTTAAAATTTACTCAAATTGTGTCTGTTGGCTTCAAAATAGAGGTTCATTTTCAGAAATATAGGAAGAATATAAGAAAAAAAAGTGTAGTAAAATTTGGTTCGAGAAAGTGTGATGGTGAAGAGGTTAAAGGGTACCAAGACAAATTCATGGTCTCTAGATGCTTTTCTGAAGTTCATACTCTGTACATCTTCTGATTTAGATTTCAACATTTGGCCAATAGGGTGTGAATTTTAATTTGTGTGATTTGATAATGTGTGATTAAACAATTACTTTGTTTTTTGTTTAGGCCCGCATGATGTCAAAGAACTGAAGAGGCCTGATACAATCAGTCTGTCTTCTACTACAAGTAGTGCTAGTGATCATGGTGGTAACACACCTACCATGGACACACCAGTATTTGAACAACCAGCTGTCAGTGATACCACATATGCTACAGAGACAGAGGTTTCAGAATCGCAAATTGATACAATGACTGATAAAGATGTAATAGGCGAAGCAGTTGTACCAACTGGTGAGACGGAGGTAGATAGCAGTGCAGAGATTCCAGAAAATGAAGAAAAAGGTTTGGAAAGTGGGAGTGAAGTTGAAGATGAAGATGAAGCAAAAGAGAAGTTAGATGAGGAGGGTTTTGTTGAAGAAGTGAACAATGATTATCAAAGTGTAGAAACGTTGGAACCATTAGAAAGCGGTTCTTTTACAGATTCTACTCAGAGTACTGACAACGATGAAGACATTTATGCCACTTACGCTCCAGAAAGTGAACAAGAACAAGCTGTATCTGACAGGACTCCCCCGTTATCACCGCTGGAACAATCATGTGAGAAAGTTACAATGGAATATATGCAATTTAAAGTAGCTGATTCATGGGTGCAGTGTGATATTCCTAAAAATATCACGTACATGACGTCGTCCGATAAACACTTATGGTGCGTTGATAACAAAGATAGGGTATATCACTGCCTGTCAACCGTCAGTGGGAACATCAAATGGAGTAAGCTGAAGGACTCTGCAAAAGAGATTGCAGCATCACCCTCTGAGAATATCGTATGGTGCATACATCGGAAGACTAATGCGGCGTATGCCAGTAGCGAGAGCACACGTAAGACGCCGATTGGATCCAAGTGGACTAAAGTGTTAACAGATGTGGCACATGTCAGTCTAGATGACAACATGGCATGGATATTGAAAACTAACGGTGATCTGTATGTCCAGAAAGGACTGTCTCGTGATAAGCCTTATCTGAACAGATCAGCTAGGATTAGTAATAAACAAAAGTTAATCCAGATTGTATCTGTGAGGCATGTTGTGTGGGGGTTAACTCAAGATAACCGAGTGATTTACAGGAAAGGCATCTCTCAGTCTATTCCGGAAGGCACAGATTGGAAAGTGTTAGATTCAGATTCAGATTCAAGGTAAATATTGAATACTTAATCCCTGATCTTAACCTCTTAATCCCTTCTCAATGGCTTCCCTGTCAAACCTAATAACATAAATGTATAATAACCACCTGTTTGATTTTGAAATAAAGATATGCGAGCCTATACAAACTATAAAGAGCGTCACTTCATGTTTGGTCCCACAGCAATGTCTACAACACATGTAAAACTATGTTGTTTACACAAAACATGCGACCACCGTCACATGTGATGTAAAAGTGATGGTTTCAAGAGATGTTTCACAAACTTGCATCAATACATGTACATGTATAAGCAACAATTCACAATTATCTATAAGGACTGCCCAGTTATGTATCTGTTGTTTGGGTTCTTTTGAAACAATACTTGCACATGAATCAACCTGGGATTAGGCAAAAAATAAATAAAAACACAAGCAGTATAATGTGCATGCACATTAACATGAATTAACAGCTACTTTTGGAGCCTCGGTCACGGTAAAATTAGCTGCGGTTGGCTGTGTGGCATACGTAAAGGGATGGAAGGGCACACTGACAAAATTTTCTTGAACCTAATTTAATATGTCATCTTATTATAAATTGTACCAAGATGGTTTCAGATCTGCAAAGTACTGAAATGAATTATTCTCAAAAATACATACCATCGATAGTTTGACATCCGAGTTATTTTTTTTCTTAAAAGCCTCTTTTGTGTGAATCAATTATATTTTCTACAGGGATGAGAAACAGACCTACACATCTATTTCCCTGGGAGGGAAGAACACTGCATGGGCTGTGGATGATAAGGGAGGAGTGTGGTTTAGACAAGGTGTTACCATGGTGATGCCACAGGGAGAAGATGGAAAATGGTGGCAGGTAAGCAACTGGGTTATACAAAAGAGCAATAATTCTGGGTTCAGTGTCATCTTTATGCAGATTATTCCCTTTTGATGGGATTCGCCTCACAATAACTGTATTTGGAGATGCATTGCATGTTGCCACTGCAGATCACTATTCCGAAATACCCACTGAATTTTGTCACCAGTCAATAAGAATACATTTGTATTTAGTTATATTTGTTGGGGCTTTCGGGATCAGAAAAAAAATGGTTCATTACTTGATAGTTGTTGCATTCATGGATTTTAATAGTCATAATAATAATAGCTCCATGTAAAAAATAGTGCAACACACAATCTATCAAAGATGATGATTGTAAAATTTCTGGTACTTAGAAACAATACACATACACATGATTTAATAAACACATTCCAATCTTACTGTTTCAGGTGTCCATGAGTGACTATCTAATGCAGGACACCAACATGTTGGAATCATTTCTTGGATTCGCTGATATACATAAACCAATGGAAATGGTGACCAGTTTTTGGAAAGGACCTCAAGCTAATCACATTACTGCAAATAACAGTAGCGTGTGGGTAGCTGGAGCTAAGAATACGTTGCATGTATCTAGAGGAAACTTACTGGGTGAGTTTGTGTATATATCTTGTAAGATAAATACCCCAGTATCAAATTTGATGATATGGCAATAATATGAAAGCAAGGAAATATTAGTTTTATTTATAAACAGAATTCAACTTGGCCTATCCAAGATGCAGGTGAATCAGACACCTTCCATGAATGAGGTAGCTTATTAATAAATTATGATAAATTGCAGGTAATCGTTGGGAGATATCCACTCCACTGGGCATGGCTGCTTCGGCGCGTTGGTTATGTGTATCGGCTACAGCAGCAAATTCAAGAAACGGTAACTATGACAACAATGATGCAGTGCTCACTTAGGTCTATCCCTTACAAGACATCCTGTACTGGAGTTTTCTTTTCGTTATTACAGGTGTCTCTTATGACTTCTGTTAACACTTCTACCGTATTATCAGCAATTCTACAAATCGGAAACGGCCCTGTCATACAATACTTCAGAGAGCTATCTGTCATTTATATAACTTAACTACATACATACCTCTTTTAATATAGGTTTAGTGTGGGCATTACAACCTAATGGTGAAGTATTTTGTTTTCCACCTTCGTCTCGCAAACCTACCCCAGTTATCCCCCCTCTGAATATCATGTTCAGTTACATCAGTGCCACACCAGATGCTGTCTGGGGTCTCTGCTGTAACGGTATCATATTCATCAGAGGAGGTATGGCTGAGCACTGCCCACAAGGTGTGAGCTGGAAACCTCTTGATCTCAGTCAGCTAGGTAGGTACAAAGCAAGTATTGTCTTGACTGTTCAGAATCTTATCTTATCTCCTTCTGAAAGCCTTCTGCGGTTAGCGAATATGATTGGTGAATGATGTGAGCATGTGATATGTCAAAGGTTATGACCTCAACATGAAATTTCAATAGCCAAGAGTGTAGCTGAGCATGAATTATGTGTGCATTGTATTTTAAACATAAAGTCTCAACAAATTATCAATACTAGCAGTTGTACTGGTCACTGTGTTTCAGCAACTCTTATTATGAATATTCTCACTGTAAGCACATGGATACATATCAATATAGTGCACTGTTCACAAGCAATGATCATCACATGTATGTCTCTGTTTACAGGCAGTGTACATATCATCTCTCTGTCCTGTGGTTATGACTCCGTATGGGCCTGTGACACCAATGGTAACATCTACTTCCGGATGGGTGTCAAGCCCCCACAGTATGCATTTCTGAATCCAGCATGGGTTCCTGTTGAGGGGAAACCCCAAGGAATAGGGACCTACTTCACCCAAGTTTTTGTTGGATCATCAGAGAAAATGAGAGTCTGGGCAATAGATAATAGGAGTACAGTCTATGCAAGAACTGGTGTCAGTCGCAAAATGCCAATAGGATCCCGTTGGGAGGCAGTACCAGGTAATATCATTAATGTGTTTTTCTCTCAATTTAAAACCTGTTAACACCTGCTGAAAGCCAGTACTCCAAATGTTGTTAGCAGGCGATGTGTAAACAAATTGGTGACATCTCATCTATTTCAATTTATAGGAACACCTGCAATTCGGTTATCCATTAGTAGTGATATGGTGTGGGCAATATGTCCAAATGGCGATGTAGCATGCAGATATGGAATCAGTGACAGCAACCCTATTGGTGACTACTGGAAGAAAATACCAGGAAATTTTTCACTCATATCAGGTGAGCTCATAAAGTACTTTGTTGAGATGTGAATGAGGTTGCAGTATACCTGTTGTGAACAGACAGTTTTCGACTTAGTGTGGTAACTTAAGATATTAAGGGTATGCATGGTGATATGTAATGAGATTCCATCTCATGCATGCTACAACCAAATGTACCAATTACATCACAGAGCACAATGAAGATTCAGATTTGATGGTGTAAAGAGAAATGTGTGAGATGATCAGCACATTTGAAATTGCCAAACTAGCAGACAATAGCCTAGACGAATACTTGCTTCATTTCATTTTAATACATGAGTTTGTTTTGCGGTTCGAGATGAATTCGATAATTGTATTTCATTGTTTTTGTTTATCAGCCTCGCCGAAGAATCATCTGTGGTCTATCGATAAAGAAGGACGGTTATTCCAAAGGACTACAAAAACATTGCTCCGATGCATTACATCTACTCCACTGAGACAATCCAGCATATCAGATGATTGGGAAGTACTCTGAAGTCATCAAGTGTTGCCCCAAGGATACCCTCCTACTTAAGGATAGACTTGGTTAACAAGTGAAACTACAGAAAATTGAAAAGTGCTACAAATTTGTGATATTTCGCTCATTGAAAAGTTCCAACAAATAAATGAAAAAGAGCAAATAAATAAAAAGATAGAGGGTACCTGAACTTGTGTTTCTATGAAACAACATTGTAATTTTTCCATAGCAGTAAATATGCCGTTCGTCCATTTTGAATTGAACATTTGTCAAAATACAAAAAAAAAATGGGCAAAAAGACTGCACCAACATTTTTGAGGCAAAATTTGCAAGCATTTATTTTTGTGTAAAGTTTCAACATTTCAGTATTATTAAAGAAAAAGTCCAGGCAAACAACTTAGTGTTCCCAGATAAAAGAGCTTTTCAAAAGTTGGAAAATTTACTGTTTTTTATTCTCAGATATTCAACTTTTCATCAGTATTATGTAGTCCGCCATCTTGATTCTCAAGCAAAGGGTTGTGGGTAAAGTATGACATCATTGTTACTAATTGAAAAATGATATTATCAGCCAAAGGCCACATATCAGTATGCCATTTGTATGTACCGGTAATATGATACACATTTAGGCTTTTTGGATTACGGTAAGACTAGTTTATTCTATATTATAACATCACAGTTGTTTAAACCTTTTGCATACTCATTTTACTCCCTACCTGTATAATATGTGTACTATGTAGAATGAACTGCGAACGTCTGGATGCATCACAGAGGGGCCAGCACCTCGCCTGATATTAAAGTCCTTCTCACAAGAAAGCCTACATCAGAAAGTAATTTTGACAGTGTAAAAACAAAAGAAAACAATTGTATGTTTAATTACCAGTATATTAATTTCTTTAAGGCATGTTTTGTATGGAAAAGTAACAGTTACTTTTTAAATACAATTATATGGTCTGTATATGAGCACCATATTCTTTTTTTTTAATTATGTGCAAAAATGCACATTGGAAATAACACATTAATTGAAATACCGGTAATTTAAATAACTATGCTTGGAGATGGGAAAGGTGCAATTTTGATTTTAAGATTGATTTTAACCTTGAAATACTGGGTGTACAAGTTCAGAATTTTGTACTTAATTATTGTTTTTTCATTAGCAGTACATGTTATTGTACCCCAATGTGGAAAACTGCTGTCAAGTTTGAAACATATGGTACGAGTGTGTGTTCCAGAGAAAGATCCAAGGAGGTTACATATAAACTTAATTTTTCTAATTTCTACAGTGTATAATTTCTGTAAATATCTTTTTGAGCATGTTGACACTTAAATATCATATTGCATGTAAATAAAACAGGATTGAGGTAATTAATTTTGTTGAAAATTTTATTCGTTGAATGTTGTGGAGAAAGTTGAATAAATGGTACCCATACAGTATGGAGCAAAAATAATTAAGTCAGATATTGATTGCTGAGCTACGATGGAATGGCATCACATCTACAAAGTGATGATTTCAATATGAATATACACATTCAGCAAGATTGTATGGAATTGCTAAACTGAGGAAGTAGCACCTAAATATGACATGGGCTGGAATTAGGAGAAAATTTACATGTGATACAGATCATATGCATACATGTGGAACAGACCATACCTTAAATGCGAATGGCTTCTCAGATCTTTTCTCCCCTCTCTCCAGTGATCACATCCACTATTGATCTCTCTGATCTATATCATGGTGATTTCATAGATCAGAGAGAACAGTGGGGGGGGGGGGGGGGCAAAAACAAATTTAGTTTCCTGGCTCTCTTGCCCTCAATATGATCTTAACAGCCATTTTTTTTCAAACTTTTTCAAAACTTTCCTGTTTTGCCATATAAAAAATTTAGGTTTGGTTGCATAAAAAATCTGGGCAAGAGGTTACCTTATTGGGCTTCAATAAATATTGGAACTATAGAGTTTGAAGTTAATTTGTCATATATTGTAAAGTACATTATTTTTACTTGGAATTTAATTTTGCATTCAACTCATCAAAAATCATTGAAAATAATAAAATAATACAAAACTACTATTAATTCCAGCTAAAACAAAGTACTTTACATTATATCATAGTACACCAATAAATCCCTTAAATTTTTGGATCTATTTCCTAGCTACTATACTATGCCTGGTTTGTTCTCAGCACAATATCTGGTACAAATTTGTCGCTTCTTGTGTATGCTGTGAACAAAAGACCATACTGTGCACTGAAAGCAAGAATAGCATTTAGGCCAGACTTTTATTATCCCTTGTTTCGCGAACCTGCCGAATGAACAGGAGCCGAAAATGAAATAAAATTATATTTTTGCATAATTTCTCGCGCCCGCCGACTTGTAAGCGCAAAAAAATGCATTTTTTTACAGCACGCCGCATAACAAATTCAAATTGCATTTCCGTGGGAGTATCATGATCAAAGTACCAAAGTCTTGCTCGGATGAGAAACAAGGTTATACATGGAATAAAATTTTATTTCATTTCTTCTCTTCGATCAATGATCTCACAATTCTTTGAAGAATCACACAAATCTAATGGGGGAAAAAAAGAATTAATTTTATTTTTTTTCCCCGCCCTCCTCAAAAAAATTGCCTTATAAAATCTCGAGAAACAAGGAATAAAAAAAGTCTGGCTTGACTGTATACAAAATTTTATTTTGATAATAAATTCATTCGTCGGTCATAATTATAAGCATATGTGCTTCTAACAGAGCAAATATGATATACCGGGTAGTCAGTTTCATTGCTAGATGTTGTATCACTTGTATTTGAAACCAATAAATTGTGTGCATCAATGAAACAAGTATATAATATCTACATTGATTTTATTCCTGAAGAATTAAGAGACGATAGATAGGAAATTTAATAAAAATGTAATTTACACAGAAAATTAAAAACAAATAGGGTTAAAAACAAGTTTCAAGTTTATACATTGCATGAATTAGATTGATAAGAGAGGACGACAGTGACTAAATATATTTATTGATTTGACTACCCAACAAATACATGATCACTCAATACAGGACAATATTTACAAGATAATTTAAATATTCTATTTTATTCTGAATTTTAAAATCTCCCACTAGCTGGCATCTGACAGTGTGCCATATCAGTTCGTATCTCCCATCGTAAAGCTTGTCTTTTCTTATCAGTGGGTACAACGTATTTGTTTGGTACAAACACCTTTTGGTCACGTTTGGGTCGATACACCTCATCTTTATGAAGCATTTGCTTCCTATAGGTGAAATGAAAAAAAACAGGATTGAATTAGATTAAATGAAATAATTGTGAAATAACAAATTTACAAATAAATGTAGTTTGTACATGTCTATATGTCTTTTCAGTTCTGGAATTTCAAGTGTAAAATATCCTTGTTGTGAGTAAAACAGGAATCATCGCCAATCATTCCATCAACCAAGACATTTCCCATTCAATGTAGTTTGTTACAGTACAACTGGAAATACTTGTGTAGTACATACCCGCACTGCCCATCGCAGCTCTTTTCTATTCTTCTCACCAGGAACTTTGTATGAATTCCAACTTTGTTGATATAAATGATATCTAGGTGAAAATGAATAAGAAATGAGGTATACATATATGTAATGCATGCATGTTTAAATGTTAACCGCTATATTAACTCTTTGGTTTGAGACCATAAACACAGCGCAGACCAAATTAATTCCCACACTCAGGAAAAACATTGTCTATCACCAATGTACACTTTTCAGTACATACCTGGTAACTGGATCAGTTTTCCGGAGATTCTTTGTATGTGGGTGAGCTGTACCAGGACGTATAACTAAAAAGAAAAATCACATAGTCAATACATCTCTGTAATAGGATTAATAGGACAAACCTTACCCAGTGATGTATTCAATTACAGTCAATTACACTGAGTTAATACTTACATGATCTTGGTAAATTAGGAGCATATATACTATCTTCTTCCCTTGAAACCCTGCTGCTGTCTGGAAACTATTGCAACAACAAAAATAAATATTTTAAAACATTGTATACTACAAAAATGTACATAAAGCCTTAAATTAAAGCACCACACTTGTAACATCACATGTTGGAATTTGGATAAACTACAGCGCTTGAATTTCATCACTGCTGCAACATTTCTTTTTACTTGTGTGACATTGTGTCTCTTGTTGAAATTAAAAAATTCTCAAACAAGTCAGTAATACAGTTGGTATGTACAAAAATGTACCACGATTATGATGGCTAAGAATAAATTAGAGAAACAGGGTCAAGATATTGTAACTACATACCAAGTCTGGTCTCGCTGAAAACGGTCTCCTACTGTAAATTTGTTGGATAACATCTGCTGATGTTTCACTCTCAGTCACAGATGATGCATCATCCTCTCTGATCGGAAGATGGTCAAATCTGTCTCTCAGTATGCTTACATCGTCTGAAAAACATTGATCAGTTTCACATTTACGGATCTCCAAAAATATAGCATGGATTGTTAACAATATAAACATGAATATTTTCTGTACTTGAGCCTATAGAATAACACTGTACTGTAACAAAGTACTGCCACCATACAAATCAAGAGCCATTGTATATACATGTATATATATAACAAGCATTCAAAGTGTCATTGTCATCATTGTTCTATTTTTATAGATTGATAGAATGAAGTCCAAATATTTAATATCACATGCACATAAAACAATAGGTGCATTAGCCATAACAGAAACCACATTCTAAGTCAGGGACCATATTCTCATCATGTAACATCCATGGCATTTACTAGGCAATGCACGAATGAAATAGGTCACAACAACCATGTTTCGACGAAAGCCACATCCATCAGTGGGTGAATCTTGATCAGTAGTTTGGCGTTACCAATCCTGTCACATCCACTTGGTGTGTGGGCTGCTTCTTTTTTTATTGATAAATTCCAGATACACATGTAGGAATAAAACTCAGGTGATTGGTAAATGCCATCACTTTAATAGGGATGAGTAAACACTTATTATATGCATACAATAGGATGATTGGTAGATACAATCAAATAATACTTTTTTTTTAAATTACTCACCTTGTTCACTTTCAGTTATTGATTCATCAAACACTTGTGAATGACCTCCTACTTTCCTGAAAACACACAAAATTATAGAAGTAGGTAGATATACATGTCTTCAAATCAACTTTAATTTTCTAAGCAAAGCATTGATGAGGAAAGTGATAGCCTTCTGAACACTTACCTCACAACTTTCCTTTTTCTCATAACTTTCCTATCAGGACTTCTAATAATAGGTTTAGATCAGGAATGATTAAATCTTCGTGGTCACCAACAAGGCTTGTTCCCTCTGGGAAATCAGATTTACTCAACCCATGAGAATTTTCTTTTCCAAATACGGAGTGTTCAACCTGTGAAATGTCAAGAAGTTATTACTTGAATATATACCAGTAGGTCAACTGTAAAAACTATATAATTACCCAAGTAGGAGAGTAAAATTCCTGAAGGTAATAAAAATGCTGTTCGGTATTTGAGCAGAATTCTGATATTACATGTAGGCATGGAAAATCTGCATCATACAAGAAACAACAATACTTACTATGGACTGGTTATTGACATTTGGTTGTCTACTTCTACTTTCATTTAATGGAATCCTGTGTCTGTGAAGCATATGATACCCTTCACCATCTGCAAAAAAATATTACAATGAGAAATTAGGTATACATGGGTAGGTATACTTTCAATTAAAATGGTTACACAATACAATGCTTTAAGGGGACAGTTTTGCCTAAATGGAAGTAAACAATTATGAGATTTAAGTTTATGATCACTCTTTCTCAGGAATTTGAAAACCATTAACATGTACATTTAATTTTTAATATTGTTGTTTAGTAGTATATGTTGGTGAGTGCATTGGATTATAATTTATCATGATCTGAAAACTTTGTTCTCGTAGCACACACAAGTTTTTCATATATTGTAAGAATGAAATTCTCTAATACATGTATCAATGCACACGTATACATGTGTTTTTGATTTGTTCTGATTTTTCATTTAACTACGGGAAATTCTGTTTTGTGTCATGTAAACGAAACATTTTTAGTTCAACTTGATTTGTCTACAGAATGGAAAATTGAACAATATTAAAATGCATGTTTTAATCCATATAGCATTTTTTGATTAAAGTGTTGAACTGCTGCATGTAAAATACTAAATTGACAAGACTATGGCACTTTATAATAGTCTGCTACCACACGGCAGCACTACCACCTAATAACACATGATTCTTAACTTCAAACTTACCAGTTGATGATACAAATGAATCACTTCGAAATGAACTTCTTGAACTTGATTTTTCATGTTCTACTAACTTTTTAAGATCTGAAAATATAAATCACACGTTATAGCTTACAAATTATCCTGATTTTCTGCAGAAAAACATATTTAAACCAACCAAAACAACTAAGATTGAAATATTTTACTGCCATGATAATACACTGTGTTTAAAGACTCATTTAAACATTTTTTGTTTAAATATAACCAGGAAGACCAAATCTTACCAAAATATTGTTTTAGACAGAAATGAATGGGCAAAGTGACCATACACAAGGCCAATATCACTTAAAATCCAATGTGAAAGAGATTGGAGAGAGGCTTAGCCCCTTCATGCTGGCACCGTGATTGACATTTCGTGCAGGGCACCCGGTATACTGTCATCTTGTATCGTAATCCCCCAAGGTTCACTTGACAACATTGGATTTCAATAGATGGCGGCCTCTGGAGATCTGGGTGCAGCCTTGCTACCATCTTTTTCCGCTTGCAAGTAGGAAAACCGTAAAACTGACTAATCATTATGCAAATTAGACAATTAATATGCATGTGTTTTTTCCCAAAACTAATCAGGTCTGTGCATTGTCCCCCAGCATATGCATGTACACTGTATTAAGTTTCATTAAAATCCAATAAGTAGTTTTTTAGATATCAGTGGAACAATCATGGAACAGCAAAAAAATATCTAATTATCACACATACAGACAGACACACTAACTACAAAGACTCCCATTGTAGCAAAAAATAGATAGTTACAGCTATTGTCGCTTTAACAGTTTACCTGAAGCAAATTCCCTTAGTCGATATGGAGGTACGTTGTAATATCCTAAGGCTTCCAATTGCCTTCTTATGTCTTCTTCACTGAAATCAAGTGATTCATCCGCCATTGTTGTGGAAGGCGAGGGCTTTGATTCAATATGAACCTGCCAGAAAAATGAGGATAAATTTAATAATCATGAAACTGTAGATTAAATCTATCTGTCTTTGTCATAAATATACAAGTACTCTGTAGCAGTGGCACTACCTGCTGAGGTATGTTGGCCACACAAACAATTGAATTGGTGTTTTCATGACCAATGAAGCATGTTTCACTCAATAAAAACAGTTATTTGTATAACATCTAAAATACTAAACACAGTGTTTGAGAATGCAGGACTTGTCAGTTTACGGTATTAAACTTATTATTATGGTTAAAATTATGGCTTTTAATTATGATTATATATACTACTGTTTGCATTTGTTAATTAATGTTCATGACCTTCTCCTAAATGTACCAGTAAATTGAAATCCGTAATCTAAATTTTAGAAAAAAAAGAAGTTTCTTGTTCGTTTTAGGATTTCCTATACAAGTATAATTATGATATTATTTATGAAAATCCTATCGTGTTCCAGGTACAGCTAAACAATATTGTATTACCATCAAGTAACCCACATACCAATACTTCTATGTTTAAACCTACCTTGACATCGCCAGTTTCCTTCAATACACGAGGTGAGACTTCTTGGCCGGTTTCACTCTGATCATTCTGAGCATTTATATGTTCTAGTGTAGTTTTAGGACCATTTAAATCCATGTTTACAAACTGTTTTGCTAAAGAGATCCTGCACTAAGTGAAGCCTACTGCTCACGCTGCTGTTTTTAAAACTTAAATGAGTTTTAACGAAAGTTTCAAACATGTTCAGACAACTACCTTTTCTGTTTTGGCCTGCTGAACTGCAACAGGGTCAAAGGTGAACCAATCAGCTGTTGTCATGTTAAATATACGCAATTGTCGCGAACAGTGTTTGTAAGGGGTGACTGGTATATATCTAAAGTCTTACACCTTCTCTATTACTTAATATGAATATTCAATACGTTCAACAGACAACTTACCTTGTGAAAGCCCATGAACGACTCAAATCGACCGAGAACAACAAAAAAGAATTTAAATATGGCGGCGGTTGCAAACCCGAACTGTACAGACTCGAACCTGTCAAGATTTCTAAATTTGTACGTAAGAGGGCGGAATACGTAGTTTGGATCGCCTTATTACTTCATTATTAAAACATACCTATTTCCTTATACTGGAATATATAATTTTAATCCAATGAATGTGTCAGCAAATAATATTCCCTGGAACAAACAGTGAATAGATGAAATTCAAGTCACGCATCAACTTTGTCTCGCGAGATCAGGTATAATTTGTTTACTGGTAGGCGGAAATGGGAAGGAAAGATATCGTCTGAACATTGAGCTCAGTTCTAAGTCTTGTTTTCTTTGTAAATTTCAGCAGTGTACTCCTTGCAGGTAAGCTACCTTTGAATGAGGTTTTTGTAATCGGAAAATATCAAGTGTGACTATGGGAAATATGCAATAGTTACCTCGACATCCTGTAGTTTAGATAACTACAGAGTGAAGTCATCCGCCAGTCGCCATCCGCCAGTCAGTGTATCCGCCGGTCGCATCCGCCAGTCAATTTTTTTTTTCTGTTCATACAAAATAAAAAAAGTTACCTATTTTTGTAATCGCTGGTTCATGCGGTAGTGGAAAATATTAAAAAAAAATTTTTATCAAAATTTGGGGTCAAAATGACGATTTTTAGATCAAATTCATAAAACACGCTAACATTCCTCCCCAATTCAGGCGATCACAACCACAGTTTGAAAATCGATACACATTAACTAGTAATAAATAATCTCCAGTATCTATATAGTATAGAAATTATTTCAGACCTTTGGCACAATCATTATTTTGGTTGCAATTTGGGGTCAAAATGACGATTTTTAGATCAAATTCAACAAAAACGCTTACATTCCTGCCGAGTTGAGGCGATAGCAACCACAGTTTGAAAATCGATACACACCAACTATCTAAACTACCGGGTAGTAATAAACAACCACAGTAATATTTGAACACTAGTATATTTGTATATACTAATTACAAATAGTACTTACCGGTTATTCCTTTATACTGATTTTGCAACTGGATTATACTTACCGTTGGTTATACATGTACAAACATACAGTGCTACCCATTTTTGATTTGTGGGAAACATAAACAAAATATAAACAATAGTGCAATTCATAAAATACATCGATGGTCATCAAATTAAATTTAGAGTTTAAGAGTTGTTTCAAACAAAATAAATGGTTGTAATTATTTGTGTAGTAATATTTGATTTTTAAAACTAATTGTAGACAATGTATGGATTAGCTGTAATAATCGTCGTAATTGAAAATTAGATTAGAATCAATGAAATTAAAATATTTTAAAAGGTTAACATGAAAGAATCAAGATGAGCAAAAATAGTATTTATTTACGAAAAGGTTATTCGTCCGCGGCTGAGCGAATAACAGATTTATTTCCACTTCTAGTATTCGCCCAGTTGTCAAATCAACCAATGGAATCACCTATTATGAAATTGAGTATATATATATATAGCCAATCACATCTCTCCTTC